AATTTTTAATATTTACTAAAATGTAAAAAATATTAAAAAATGTATTACAAATCAAAGTCCTTTTTTTTTATTTTTATATACATTTTTTTTAGATCTTCGTTTTAAAATACCGATCGATCACCAAAACCGCTCGAAACAGGAATCGACAAGGGCCGGTTCTGATCTAACGGAGCGGTTACCGTTTAGATTGCCCGATTTTTCTAACAATGTCTGAGAGAGAGCGGAGAAAATGCTCTCATAGACTTTCATTTTTTTTTTTGGAAATTATCACAAATATACCTTAATTTTTGTCTATTTAGAAAAAAAAAAAAAAACTGTATTTTAAGTACTGTAAAAACTAACCCATATTATACGCCATATTAAGTGTTAGTCCCAATAAAAATAATAATAATAAATAAATTAAATAAAATTGACTTACTCGGATCTATCCTTAAATCACACAATAGATTGAAGATTCTATGCTAAAACCTATACACTAAGTCATTCGGTGACAGGTTACCTTAAGAGTCCTCTTTGGTGAATCCCATTCACCCATTTTCCATCATTCTCTTTTTGTTTTTACTTGAAGGGTTAACCTCTTTTAATAGAGAACCATATTTTGTAACTCTCACATTCATGGTCTATAGGAGTTGAGATCCAAGTATAACTCCTGCTTAATTCCCTTAAGTGCAGCCAATTATGATTAACAAGTTGCACCAAATTATTAATCTTATGTAATGAGCTAAACATGTCATTAGTGCACTAATGACTCACATAATAGGATGTCATCCAAGTATTCCTACAATTTGATAAAAGATATTTGGAAATTAAATAATTTTGTACATTTATAATATAAAATAAAATAAATAAATAAATTTCTTACAAAGAATCCAAACACACAACTGGGTTTTCCCTCCAGTGACACTGAGTTTTCCCTCCAGTGTAACATCATATAAATGGAAAGGTTTCTATACTTCCCCTACATCATAGAAGATCTGTGCTTCCCCTACCATCCAGCCCTCCAATTTGATCAAGAGAGTCATTCATCGTTTGATCTTACATCCGACGTCTCAAAGTATTTTATTTTTTGTTTTTTTATACAAATTGTATGAATATGAAATTTTCTACGTGTCATCTTCTCATTGGGGGTGCACCTATAAAAAATATTAAAAATTATTTTTTGATAAACTATAGGGACCAAAATACCCCTTGAATCTTTTAGGGGCATTTTGGTCATTTTATTTTTTGGAAAAAAGCTTTATATTTTTCGCTAATGCAAGTTTAATAAAGGATTGGACATCCAAAATTTGGTATCAAAATAGTTAATAAAAAAAATTAAAAATAAAATAGTGTAGAAATGTGACATTGTGATTGGGGCAATCCTAGCCCTCCATTTAGAATGAACGATTCGATAAAGGGAAGTATATAAGTTTTATGTTACAGGGGAAGCATAAAAAGCTTGCTCTCTTATAAAAAACTGCAAAATAGATCCTGGTATATGGAATTGCTTCATGTCAACCACATGAGATTTCACATATACTATACAATATAGCTTTTGTATCATTATTGAAAAATAAATTCCCGCGATAAAAAGACCTGATAGGCCATATTTCCAACATTAAGTGCGGTAAAAACTAACCCATATTATATGATGTTATAAAAGGACTTGTATCTCGTTGGAATCGCGTTTGTTGAGTTGATGACATAAGTAGAGAGAGAAGTAGAGTTAGAGAGAGAAAGAAGAGATAAAAAAAATTAGAGAAAAAAATAAGAGATAAATATTAAAAAGAAATAGAGATAAACATAAAAAGAATTAGAGAGATGAAAGAGATAAATATAAGGAGAAAAGGGTTTACGTACCCTATAACATGGTTTAGTTTTTACCGAACTTAATATGCCGTATAACATGATTTAGTTTTTAATGTACTTAAAATGCCGAATAATATGTGTTAGTTTCTACGGTATTTAAAGTATCATAATTATGTTTCACGACAATACGACTACCGTGAAGGTTATTTGGTAAAAAAAATATCCAAAATTGAAGAAAATAGGTGTGGACGAGGTTTATGAAAGTTGATGGTTTTTTAAAAAAAATAGACGAAAATTAAAGTATATTTGTGATAATTTCCCTTTTTTGTTTTGGTGTGGTTTGTAATTTGTATACTACCAGAGCTCTAAAGAATCAAAGTAAAGTAGTTGTCAGTCCATTGGGTAAACAAGAATCGCTGAAAAACAAAAGACTAGATCCAAAAAACATTAAAATTGCCCGATTTTGTACTGTTGGCAGATAAAACTCATTTTTTCACTATAGTAAACTTTTGTAAACTAAAAATCTAAAATTTGGGAGTGATTTTGATCGAGTTTTGGAACTTTTCTATATTTTTAACAGAAATATTATTTTTATGATAAGATTTGGATTTATCAAAACCCAATTCGAACAACAATTTATCTCGTAATTATTGGGTTTTTATGGTTCTTCATTTATTCAAAAAAATACACCAATCTCTTCCGTGCTCTCTTATTTATCAACGAAATCGATTGATTATGGGTTATTTTTCAATCTATTGAAGTTAAGCCCTCTACTAATTCTCATGTTTATCAAGTTGATTATCGTGATTATCAAGTTTAATCACCTTAAATTTACGGTTTTAGGGTTATATTTGTGATTTTTCTTCTTTCCGCCTAACTTCATTTTTTTTGCTTATTTCTACACCAATTCATAACGTTTTTTGCTTGTTTTGAAGCTTTTGAAATCAGCTTCAAGAGCCCTATACAGATCAATGGTTTTATTTCGCCATTATCGATTGATTCGTAAATAAAAGAGGTAATGTTGTTAGTATGTGAAAAAATCACCAATTCTATTATTTCTCTCTAATTACTCCATAAGTTTTCATGATTTTTAATTTATTTTGAAGTTTTTGAAATCATCTTCAAAAGCCCTATACAAATTCGTGGTTTTTTGCTCCAATATTGACTTATTTCGTGCAACATAGAGCTAATATCAATGAACAATAAAAAAAATTGTAAAATCAAATATTTTTTTCTGATTTATCAACAATAATGTTTTAATTATTATTATGTTTTTAAGATATTGAAATAACTTGAAAACCCCTATATTGCTTTATGTTTTATTGCTTCAATATCAATTGATTTATTGCATCGTAGAGATAATATTGACGAACTGTGTAAAATCTAACATTTTTCTCTAAGTTATCAACAATAATGTTATGATTATTATTATTATTTAAGATATTTAGATAACTTGAAAACCCCTATATTGCTTTGTGATTGTTTGCTTCAATATCAATTGATTTATTGCATCGCAGAGGTAATATCTATGAACTATGTAAAATCTAATATTTTTCTCTAATTTATCAACTATAATGTTTTGATTTTTTTTTTTAAAGATATTCTCATTTTATTTGTATTTGAATCCATTTTATTTTTCAATAGATTTTCCTTTATCTTTTATTTTATTTTATTTTATTTATAAATTTCTATTCTATTTTAGATTGATGTTCTATCATTTTATATTCATACATTATTTATAAAATTAGAAAATAAAAATGAAATAAAATAGAATTAAAAATATAATTACAATTTAAATTGAATTTAAATATCTAAAATATAGAATAGAAATTCTTATATTCTTATTTTTTATATTATTAGAAGAAATATTCTAATAACTAAATATTTCTATCTATAGAACATAAATTCTATTATACTATTTTAATGTATTATATATAATAAAATAATAAATAAATATAATATAATATAAATATATTACTGGCATATATTATATATTATACATCATATATAATATTGTATATTATGTTATATATGTAAGATTTTTTTTTTTAAGAGTTATAAAAAAACGAGCTCTAAAGAAAGCATTAATTATGAAAAAAAATGAGAGGTCATTTTTTAGAATTCATGAGATGTAAGAATATTGTTTTAAAGAGTTAAGATAAAAAGATAAAAAGAGTTCTAAAAAGAAATGTAGCTCCCTCGCACAATCGAACTCAATACCTCTTACAGACTCACGCAACATGAATTTTTGTTAAGAGAATTATAGAAAAAATAGCTCCAAATTAAATCCAAGCCATTAAGAAATATATAGTTAAAAAAATAACTGTAGTAACAATGGTGACCGCAAAATGGTAGTAACAATGGTGGCGCGATTGAAATGAATGAAATCTGCTACTCATTTTATACATGCATTTAACTTGCGTGATTTTTAAAACAAAAAACTGAGGATGACTCCGGCCAAGTAAATCGGATTCGGACGAGTACATCGCCTTGGCCAGGGCACGAGTACCTTGGCCGAGCCGATGTTTTTGAACCTTGTTTGATTCATTCAACAACTCAGCCCTTGCAAATGAGCTATCGCCTTTGCTTCATTTGCATGGCAGTTTCCTAATGTACCCAAGTAAGAGACCTTTATTAGAGTCTTTTGATTACTCATCCATGGTCCCCCGGGTTACTAAAATATCCATCCAAATTGAGTTTAAGTTGACCCTCCGAGGGGGAAACATTCTAATTATTTGAGGGCAGGGTCCCAATACTTCAGAAGTGCCTGTGATTATGTCATCTTCGGAGATTCTGGTTTAGTCTTTTATGATGGCCACCCATTCTGCTTAGTCTTTTCCAATGTTGATGTTGGTCTTAGCGAAGGTTCTCTTATTTCTTTCCTTTTCCTATAAAAAAATGATACAAATCTAACAGATCTATGAACACTATAATGGTCAATATCGAGATGATTAATTTGATGGTTTTCCGAAGCCAAATCTACAATTTCCATGAGTTTTGAGGTGAAGTTTTACTTATTTTGATAGAGCTACGGCCCTATCAAGTTTTACCACAAATTCCAAACCCAATATTTGTCTATTAAAAGAAAATACCAAGTGATCGACTGATGGGGTGATTCCAGAATGAGGCACCAGGCATCACCTCCATCCTCCACACTATTTTTTTTTTTTAAATTTCTTTGTCAATCTAACTTGGAAATCAGACCAGGCGAATTACAATCAGACTAGCAATTCAGGGCCGCCCGATTCCAATTTTTGGATAACTACTTAATATCACTACAAAATGCCAATCTTGATTCATAATCTCATTACAACAGCCTTCAAAAACTCAGCCACAAACACCCACTATAAAACTAAAATATAACAAACTAAAATATAACGAAGTTTAGAACAAGTGACTCATTAAGTACAGCAACATGATTCCACGCACCCACACAGAAACTGAGAATTTCTTGGCACCCCAATATTATGAATCCTTTGAATCCTCCTCTTTCATCTTCTTTTCCCATCTGCTCTTCTGAAAAAACATAATGACAGAAGTCGTGAATCATCAACACCAAAATCAACTAAGCCCAATTATAGGGTCAACATTCACAGTAAGATAAAATATAAGTTTTGCAACTGCATCCATTTCTTATTGAAGATCTCAAGTTTCCTACAAACATTCTCCAACATTTGAATCTCTTGTTAGGATAGACAGATACATGAACCAGCCTGGTTCTTGGACACAATTATAAATGCGAAGTCCACATCAAACTGCTTATTTCCAGTTTCACTGGCAAACAAACTATATGCTAGAAATCGCTAACATTTATCACCTTCTAGAGAATCTCCAGCATTATCACCTTCTAGAGAATCTCCAGCAACAAAATCACCAGCGGATAACATATAATTGAAGAGAATCAACGTGCATGCAAGAGGGTGCATGCACACACAGCACACATGCACGTGTGCACAGGCACAAGTGCACATCACATGCCTTTTTTAGTATATTTAAGTAGTAATGCACAATTGTGATAGTGGACCACCCTGCCTAAGGCTGGCAAATTTCCATAAATAAATTTTCCATCCCATTAAGCACATGAAAGCTAACTCGTAAACTTTCACTAGAGAAAATGGGGTTTGAAAAACCTTGCCTAAGCCCAAGAAAACTACCAAAAATATTTAAAAAACTAGGGCTAGGGCATGTTACTAAAAACATATAAGCAAGAACTCCCCAATCAGTGTAGTGGTAGGGATTTTCAAGTAAACCTTAGTCATTATTCCAAGGCTACCATGACCCAAGGTCAACAACAAAGAAAACAATCCCTCTAAAAAGTCCTCTCAAGAAAAGTTAAATGACGAGGCCACTTCATGGATAAATGACAATAGCCCTGCTCAGCAAATCAATCTAAGAAGCTACAGCATTATTGAGAAAAGTACTTTTTAGATGCCTTTGATCATAGGAATAAAGCCAAGGTAAGATGCATTAGAAACAATCAGTACCGTAGTTCCCTCAAAAATTCCTGAAAAAACTTCACTGGACTTTGTTTTCCTTTCTCTATCTCTGAATCGAGACGGTTTCCGCATCCCATTACTCTAACCTAAAAATCTCCTCAAGCAAAAGCGCATTCTGGTTCACAATAGAACTGATTTTTTTTTTTTTTTTTTAATTGCTTAAGAACATAAAAACCATTAGTTCATTCAACTCGCCTCTAAGGTTCTACAACTTCCTCTCTAATTTGTCAAATCAAAATGAGTCCAATGACTCAATGCAAAGATTTGTAAATGATTTCACATATAAAAAGGTTGTGTAGCCACTAGCCAAGAACCTTCTATCAAACAACAAAGGAAGGCAAAAAATGACCCCAGATGTGCCTTGAACAACCACTTCTAATGAGATTCTTACTCATAGAAAATACAAGGGTCCAGGAAAAGGGCAGTTCCCTGCAAAAGGAGAATTTCCTTTGCCTAGTTCAAGGCAAAGTAAGAAAAAACCATCAGGCTTTTCAGAGATTCCAACACTTTCCTAATCACCATTGGACTTTTATTTCTTTTTCTTGGGGAGATTACTACAACTTGCAATTTAGCTCCTTAGTTGATACATACCATGTAGTTCTCATAGTTAAAACAAGCAATTGCCTTAGGAGCCACAAATTCAAGTTCAATCAGGACACACCATGTCAACTTACCAATTCAAGCAGGATATGGTAAATAGCATAGATGAATATTGAGAAAATATCAATCAAATTGCCCCCCAATCAGGATTGCAAAACTTAAACAAGCAAATGCATTTGGGTAATTAAGCCCTACTTGAGTGGTCCATGCAAATAACAAAAATACCCATGGTTGTTTAGAGTTAGCAACATAGAACAAAGGTTTACAATGAAAAAAGTGAGTTCCATGTTGCTAACCATGAATGACTGTGATTGTTTTTGTCATTTGGCAATTCTATATCGCAAACTTTGAACAACTAGGGGTATTTTCATCATTTGGCTAGGGCCACTTAAGAAGGGGCTCAATCACCAAACTACACATGCTTGTCAATAGTTCCCAATCCTGAACAGGAGCAGTTTGGTTATTTTTACAATAAATGAAACTTAAAAAGAAACATTCCTAATGTTAAATAGGATGGTTTGAGACCTTTATTGATTTTGTAAGGTAATTTGACCTTTAATTGATATTTTGCATAATATTTAGTAGTTCTCATACATGTGAACCTAATGTGCCTAGTTCTCATCAGCGATTGACTGTTTTAAGTTGTGACCATGGCTACATTTTCTAGAACACTCCTACAATTCCAAGAGAGCAAATTGAGAAATCTAATTTGAAATTTGAAGTGCAAGTATGAGTCACTTAGAAGTAGGGAACAATGGAAAATACGAACTCTCTTTAAGGTATTTCGCAGGGCCCTAAGTAATACTGGAAATCTGTTAAGTAAAGATTCTACTGAATTATATATCTCTCCAACCTCTTGCCCTGCCCTAATCGGCCACTTTAAAAAAAAAACAAAAAGCTGGCTAACCCCAGTTGCTTGATCATCAGCAGAGTAGATAATCTTACAGGAGGTTGGACATCCACCTCTAATCCCCATAAATAACTCTAGTGATGGAGTTCCTATCCAAGTAGAACATCCAAAATACATAAATTTGGCCTTACGTAATTCAAATGGTTTTACATTTATCCAAGGAAATTTATGTAATTGCAAAGAATTTCAAAGGTCGTTTAATGTTTTCCACGGAACCCCGTAATCAGTAGTTTTGTTGGACCAAGTACATTCCACTAGGATTTGCCTTATAAAAATCGACACATCTGATTCTTTTGAAAGAATTAACACGCTGTGGTAGATACTCAGTTGTAACCCACATAGATTCAAGGTTTAGATCCATCAAGATTAACAAATGTGTGCCAATAAAATATTGCAGTAGACAATTATCAATTCAACATGCAGAATGTTTAATTGATATCTTGGCCCACAAAAAGCATCTTCTACACTCAGGAAATATCTTGACCCACAAAAACCATCTTCTACACTCAAGAAATGAGATAATGTGCAGCAAAAACCACTCATACATAACTGATAAGGCTCAAACTTGGTTGTCAATCCTCAGAACCTAATCTAATATACTCATCCATAGTCACTCCTAACCCATCTAAGATAGGACATCCACTCATTTAATAGGAAATACTCATATGGTAAACTAATCTGAAATACCTGCCTCTATGATTCTTTTATGCATCACACATTCATTGAACAACTCAAATGTACATATAATCATGAAAGAGCCAAATTATTAAAAAAAAAAAAAGAGAAAAAAAGGGGAAGAAAGGAGCCCTAGATGTATCTATTAGACATTTGGACCTAGATCAATGGTGGCAAGAGTACAAAGCTAGTCAACGGAAGATGTCTTTTTGGTATTCTCCAAAACATGTTCACTTCCTGCTCTAGGCCAAATTGCATCAGGGTATCCTTGTTCTTGCTATGCATGCTAAATAAAGATATTATTCCTAAAATCCCAATGGTACCTCCATGATATTTTCACCCAACTAAACCAATGGACAGTTAGGAATTCTACTTACATCCTTTCTATCTTCACATCTACTCATGCATCACACCGTATTGTTGTCCTTTATGAAATCAGAAGCAGGATTAATCACGCACAGCCTGAACATCTAATAGCCAATAAGGAGCACTACGGAAGGTTTGTCAATTTGGATATCAACATACTCTTACTAGAAACTTTTCTTTTATCTCTACCTCTAGAATCACCAATTCATCATAAACCATCCTGCAAGTTCGTGACCCAGTACTCATCGCTTTGTTCCCACCATTACTTTTCTTCCTACTGCACCTCTAGAGATTCCTGAACCAAGGGATTCCCTTTCTTATAGCGACATGACTTTTTTTTTTTTGGAGTAAAGGCAACCGGATTAATAATAATAATTAATAGATAGTTACTACTTTGAGCCCAGTGTTTAATGGGGCCTACAAAAACAGCCAAGAATAAATATATGTATTCATAGAGAATTTATAGAGAAACAACATTATTCTCCTTTTCTAGTATCTTAATGATTTGGTATTATTCATGCATTCCACGAAAGATGAAAGTATGTCTCTAGGAACAACAGCATATAGCATTGTAACATCCAAAACAAGATAACTGAGATTTTTAGACATTAGGTGTGGCCTTACATTCAATAATGACATTACAATTACTAAATTCTCTATTACTACCTTGCTCATAAACCCCACTTCACAATGGAAAATAATGTTACAGAAAATATAACTGAGTAGTCACAACAAGTGGTTCTTAACTCATCAAAAGAAAAAAAAGAAGAAGAAAAAAGGAAAACCTCACCTTGTATTTCAGTAACATTTCTGGCATTTTCTTCATGAGTTCAGCAGTTTTTGCCCTCCTAAACAAGAGAGAGGAAAGGAAGAATGCCCAGTCAAATTTCAAAGAGTGGGAAAGGAAAAAGACGAAGAAAAAGGAAAGGCCGGAATCCAATTCCATTTCCAAAGATAAAAGTTGGAAAGGAATCCAAATTCAACAAAAACATCAAATATAATCATACTTCTCTGCTGATATTCTATCGCACTTGTGACCCTTCCTTTTGCTCCTCATTTCTTTTCTTGGTGGATCATATGGCCAATCCCTGGCATAGCCCAAAATAATTTCGCCATAATCACTCAAATATGAAGAATCAGAGTTTTAGTGCTCCAATTTTTAGAAGACAGAGTTATTTGCAAAGAAAAAACATAGGAGTTCTTAAAACTCTAATGCCTCAATTCAATTCATTTATGCTTCAGTCATGAGAACTTCCAAGCAATTTAGAAACTCACAAAAAGAAAAGGTTTACCATGTTTAACCCAAAAATTATCCAAACAGGAAATACGAGTACAAACTGAAAACAATACGTAAGGGAGAGAGGGGCCAAGGAAGAAGGGCAATAAAAATATTGGGAAATAAGGAACAATGAAAACAGCCTCAATTAATGGATGAAAGAAACTACTGTAAATCATATTAAACAAAAATAAAATGACAAAAATAAACTAGAGCGTAGCATATCTGCATTTTCAATCAACTGAATAAACCTGAAAGACCAATAGCAATGCACCTCAAATCACATAAAAAAACCCTAAAATAGCAAAGGAGAAATCAAGGTGTGACGGTAGCCATGATACTTTTTCCTTTTGGTATTCCCAAAATATGATGATAAATCAAAACAAAACAAGAACAATGCAATTGGGATAAATCAAATCAAAAAAAGAACAATAGAAGTAAAAGCATTAATAGCAAACAAAATCTGAAAAATCAAATACAAAACCATAACTACAACTAGGGCAAAAAAGACACATACTCTCCAGCCAATAAAACTTCCTTCCTGACTCGAGCTCGATGTCTTGCACTAATGGCGAGAGGTTTCCATGACCCAAGGTGCCAATATCCCCAAACTCCCTTTGAAAGCTCTTCTTTGTGCTTTTCGAGTTTCTCTCTCCATGGATAACCCCCGGCTGGTTTCTCAACTAGACTTGCAGATGAATTTGCAGAGAATTTTGAACCATTTAAAGCCGATTTTACACCCATTTTTGCTGCATTTACAGCAAATTTCACAGCTTTTGCAGACATTTTTCGGAACCGCGCCTCCTCTTTTTTGGTTTATTATTTCATTCTGCAGTGCAGTTCAGTATATGGGCGTGTTTGATAACTGGAAGGTAAATATTCCCTGGAAATTGGAACTTCTTCTTTGCTGTCAATAAAGAAGTTACTATAAGAAGTTCTGGGTTTCTGTGTTTGATAACCTGCTGGAATGTTAAAGAAGTTCTGGGTTTCTGCGTTTGATAACTTGCTGGAACGTTAAAGAAGTTATGGGTCTCTATCTTTGATAATCCACTGGATACACAGACAAAATACTCTTTAATCAGTTACATAACAGGCCTTACTCTGTAGTCTACACACACAGGCAGAATAACTATATTATTATTATTATGTGTTTATCAAACATCATTAGAAAAGACCAAAAGAGCGCATCAAACATCTAAAACTATGTTACTATTGATATATTCATTTGTGAGGAAAATAAGTCCAATACAGCTATATGAAGGGCCAGTTTTCAACTGATAACATACTATAAACTGTATAATAGTGAGCAGCATTGACATTTTAATGATGAGCAGCATTGACATTATAATGGTGAGCAACATTGACATTCTTTTTTGGATAGTTCAGTCATATGAAAGAGTTATACAAACTTTAGAAGCAATAAACCTTTAAATATTTCACAATTACGCCAATCACAATCATAACTAAAATTCACCTCAATCATTAAAGAGAATCAATTTTCTCTCATTCAAACTTCATGGCAATGATTTGTTCTGTTTTGCCTAGAAAAACTATTCTATACATCAAATAGTCAGGATTAATTAAATTGAATATTGGATTCTTCAACCATTTCCTGAACTAAAATTCCACAACAAACTCAACAAATTTCCTGCTGATTTCCCTGAAAAATGTTGTTATTTTCCAGTCAATCTATAACAAGTTGTTTTTTTTTTGTTCTCTGATTCTATAACTACATTCTCAATTGTTAGATAAAACCCTATGCTCGATATTGAAAAATAAAAAGTAAGCTTAATCTAACCTATGGCAAAAAAGAAAGCAATACTGCAATTTTTTTTCTTTCTTTTCTTCAAAACCAACAAAATAACTATCAATGAAGAAAAAAATAAGCTAACCATGAATCAAATTTAAGCAATCTCATTGATTATCTCATTTTCCGATGATAGCAGTCACAAAAGATAAAAAAAGAAAAAAGGGGACACCAAATGGTTATGATTGTCACCTGTGTAGTAGAAGAAACCAGATGAAAAGAAGAATTGGAAAATGAGAGAACTGTGAAATTTTCCCTACATAGAACAATTTACCACAAAACAATATTAAAAAAAAACCCTAGATCCATTTTCACCATGTTCGGAACCTAGAGAAAAAATCAGACCAAAAAAACCATGGGATAGAGAAAAAAAACAGAGGGAGAAAAAATTAGGGGAGAGAGAAAAAACTGAGATATACCTTTGTGAGGAGGCTCATAGGCGCAAAGAGAAAGCGCAAGATGGTCTCCGCTCTGTGGTTACGGCAGTCGGGGACAAGCAAATACCCTCTTCTTCGCGAGGGCAGTCGGGGGTGGGTAACTTACTTTTACCCTTCAGCGAGGTTCCCAGTAAGTTACCTCTTTGACTTACTTGTTTTTATCAGTACCTCGAGGTTCCCAGTAAGTTACCTCTTTAACTTACTGTGTTTATCAAGGGTGAAGTTTGCATACGGATGCATCCATAGGTGTAGAGGTAAGGTGCACCTTCAAATTTTATCATGGTATATAATTGTGATGTAAAAAGTTCTTCTCAAAATCTATTTTTATATCTAATTATAAAAGTTTAAATTTAAAAAATAGTTAACATCAAGTAGATCTATAAACATATGAAAATCTTGAAAATGGACGGTGTAGATAATATGTTGTAACATGCACTATTTATGAGACTTAAAATCTTTTAAGTTTTCATAGTCATACATCTCGATGTCGAGATGATCAATCAAAGGGTTTTTCAACATTAAAACTACCCTTTCCGATGGATATGTTAGGGGCATCCATAGTTCTACATTATGGGCCTGTTTGATAACTGGAAGCAAGTTCATGAACTATAAATCGGAAGTTCCTCCTTGCTGAGAAGATATAAGTTACCGTAAGAAGTTCTTGGTTTCTGTATTCGATAAACTCCTGGGAAGTTAAAGAAGTTCCTGGTTTCTGTGTTTGATAACCTCCTAAGAAGTTAAAGAAGTTCTTGGGCCTCCTCTACAGGGTTCCAGTGGCTCAGCAGTTATAATAATGCCTCGTTAGGTTGATTTATTTAAACTAGAAGGCACTAAATATTAAGCATAAATAAATAATAAAAAGTACAAGGCATTATAGCTCAAACATAAATAGAGAATGCAAAGAACGCCAGAACAAAGTACCACAATGAATTTTAGTAATCATTGGAAGCTCAAAGTACAATCCAGTAACCAAGTCCTACAACAACGAGAATGCGTATCTATATCGTCTAGTCACTTTAAAGAGAAACAATGCAAAAAATTGTCATATAGAGCTTAAGGAAACTCAATGTGTTGAATATGCCAAAACTGTACAAAGTAAATCCATCATAGAATTCAACATAAAAGATCAGAATAAGAATGCATTGACCACAATGCAACATGCTGAACTGTTTAGCATTTCGCACACAAAAGGTTCCCAAGGATGCAAAAAAAGACGATGATGGAAATGTACATGCGCAACCACTAACATAACCACCCTGTACTATTGAACCATAAATAAAGCATAACAAAAGAGAGCATAATAACAGAAATCTAATCAAATCCTATAAAAGAAAGCAAGATAATTAGTAAGGGCCTACTCTTCAAGCATAGGTTTCTCTAAGTTCAAGTTGTCTATAATTCAAATTCACATTCATAAAAACCCATGCAAAAGGTGCATAAAATATGGCAGGTATACACAATCAGTAAGGAGCTAAATGGGCAATGAATAGACTAGAGAGCATAGAAATAGATAAGTATCAGAAGAAGGAAATATCTCATATAAGAAGAGACCCAAGGTCTCATCTGCGGTTAAAGCAATGTCTTCCATTATGAGCCATCCCATATGAAATGTCATAATCAGAATATTGTCATCAAGTCCATCCCCAGCTAATGCTCTCTCTCTACACCCACATGTTGCATGAAAACATCTCACCCGATAACTTCACCTTCCCCTTAATGACTAAATCATTCTAACTATGTGATGCCATCATAATCATTGCAGCCAATCTTATTGTTTCTTTCAAACCAAATACAGCTGAAGATCCTTACAATAAATAACAGATAGCATGGTAATATTCATGATAGAGTATTGCCACAATTTGCAGCATAATGAAGAAAACCTTCTGAATAACTCAGCATAATTTTCTAAAGGGCATTGAAAAGGTTAATGGATAAATTGAATTGTCATCCAAACGACATCAGAGCAATTTCTCAAAGAAGGATGTAACATGGATTAATTAAAAAGAAATATAGAAAAACGACAAACGACAAACTACAAACAACATTTTAATTAGCCATGAAAGTAAAGTTGATCACTTCGGAAATCAGTGTTCAATAAGAGCACTGAAAGCAAATCCTCATTCATTATGAACCCGAAACCACCTTCCAATTTCCAAATTTGACTATGATCATTCCCAGAAACTAAAGTTTCTTGACAGAAGTCCTACAAAACTAAAACCAATAATACTCATTTGATGCGAATAGTCTCTGAAAAATAGCATATGGGTGTCAAATTTCTTCTCTCTCTTGGTGTCATGGCATGGACAATAGTCCATGTACTTGGTATCACAGAACTCGAAGAAGTTGGGGATGGTGGTCTCATAGTCTGATAGGTTCGGGAGTGAAGGATCAGAGCGGTGGTGTTCAAAGTCCATAAAGGGTCCAGATTGGTGAAGAGTAAGGAGATCGAGCCTTACCCCATTACCAAAACAATCTGCAGTTGAATTGGAGAATGAGTTTAAGAGAAGGGAATATGGTTTTTTGCGGAGATTTGAACTAAGCAAGTAGGAGAAGAGGTAAAGGAGAGAGATACAGGAAAATATGAATTACCCAAGCTAATCAAACTACTTTTTTGATGGACTACCCAAGCTAATCTGAAAATCTGAACCAAGTAAGTCTTTTTTTTTTCTAATCCTCTTTTCAAATAAACTATTTTTGGAGTGGCTCCTCTAAATAACATTCGATTTGGAGCTCCAAAAGATTTAAATCTTTTGCATTTGTCCACAATTGAGTTTGAGGGTTGAGAATTCTTGGAGCTCTAATTCAATTTTTTCAATTTTTTATGGGATTGTTTCCATAATAAAAACAATATAACAAATTTTAAGGTTTGCATGAACTAGGGTGATGCTAATGTAGCAATCTCACAGTGAATCAAGCTAATCAAAGTTACAGCAGTCTGGAATGAAGTATACTGTTTCCAACAAGAACCCAAACTATCAAATGATTGTGCATCCATATTTTTATCATGCAGACAACCAACAAGCTCTCTAATATCTTATCATGCACACAACCAACAAGCTCTCTAATATCTTATCATGCACACAACCAACAAGCTCTCTAATATCTTATCATGCAGACAACCAACAAGCACTCTAATACGGATAGATTGTCAGGGAACTTGATGTCAAGCACTCAAAACAATCAGTTAACCCTGAATCTAGATCTACAACATAGAAAAATCACGAAATAAAGCTTTTGCATTGCCTTAGAACTCGATTTACAACATAGAAAACTATTAAACCAATTTAATACTACATTCAACATACGAAATTATACAAAATAAGTAGATTTAACCCTAGAAATGTTTTTATAGGGTTTCCTCCAAAAAAATCCTGATAACAATGTTGCTAATAGAGAAATCCGAAATTAGCAAGAAAAAAGAAGAAAAAAAGTGCAAAATCAACAAAGACCTCACTGATTAGCGGTACTTATTGAGGTTGCAAGGCTGCCAATAGTACTGGTGAGAGGCTGCCTTTACTCGGAAGAGAGAGCAAGAGAAAACTTTCGCAGTGGAGCTGCTGTTTTGCTGAGCGGCTGATTGCGAAGAGAGGGGTGACTGAGCGGCTGAGTAAACCCTACGGCACAATTTTATCAGGGAAAATTTTGTTATAAACTTCCCTTTTCAAGTTCCAACTTTTCAGTGGAAATTTTTTTTACATTCAAAGCTGGGAACGTTTTTAGTGGGAACTTTTTTAACATTTGGGAACATGATAGGTAGGTTCTTTATTTACCTTACCATTTCTTATCAATCACAGAAGATGATTGAGGAAGCAACTTCCTATTTCAATCCTGCCCCATATGGTAGCAGCTTTATATAAATTTTTTTCATGCAAGTGGTACATTAACACGTAAGTTCCATCTTTGTTATTTTCTAGCTATCAAACATGCCCTTAAAGTTTTACATATAAATAACATTATTTTTGCTTTTAATTTTTTGTTGCAAAATCAAGAGCAACATATTGATAATTTTGATGATTTATTGAGCAGGAAGAGGCTTCCAATAATCAAAATTGACATAAGTTTCTCTATTTATCTCTATATATAGATTTTACCTAAATTTTTCTTTATAGTAAATAACTTATAAGCAAGTCCTGAATTGATTCCTCTGAAACTAGGCATTAATTTGAAATTGATATTTTTTATATTGGTTGCTCTAAAATTGAGATAGTTTTTGTCCAGATCTTTCCTTTGTAGAAAATTATTTTATAGCAAGTCTTGAATTGATTCTTCTTAAATTAAGGATGATATTAGGGAATAATTTGAAATTAGTATCTTTAAATAGGGTTTCCTCTAAGATTGGGATATTATGTGAAATTATGTGCTTCTCTATTTTTTTCTCTCAATATCAATTTTTCAGTTTGAATTTTGATTTTCAACCTTTCTGTTGAGTAGTATGGAGAATGGAATTTTTTATTGCTCTTATACAACTTTCTCATGCTGAATAAATGGCTTTCTAATGTAAGATCTAGAACATTTTTCACTTTAAGTTGCAACATTGACATTCAAGAATGGTTCTTCTATCTCTTAAGATTTTTAGCCGAAGGATAGAATAAAGCTAATGATGTTTTTTTTTGGATGCTGTTAACGAAAAAAACTGATGATGTTTCAAAATTTAAAGTATAACAACCTTCATAAGAACCAAAAAAAACCATTTTTACGAGTACAAAGCAGGTAATTGAGTTTTATAGGGTTTTTAATATTATAAAATGTCATTCAAAACAATTTTTATTTCATTCTATTGCACATGTTGCAGATTTACCCCAAAGTGATTGATATAATCATTCAAGGAAAAATCTTCCTTGGAATATCATGATATCTGCTTATCATTAAATTAATTATTTATATTAGGATTATTGTAGAGTATTCTAGGTTTTGCTCTGAATTTATTTTATTATCAACATAATTTTTAGGTTTTTCCTCAAAAAATTGTAATACTTTTAATTTAATTTAGAACATCTAAGGTTTCCTTTTGAGGTTAGCATTTCTTTTGACATAAAACTTTTTGATATAAGCTTGCTTGAAAATCTAATTTAATACAACGTCAAGAGAGAAAATAAAGCAATTGACACACCTTTTAAACCATTGTTATTTCATTCTAATGTAAAATCATATTTGTTGAGTCTTAAGATTAGATATGAAAATTGCATAAACCCTATTTTTTAGAGGTGTCACAAACCTAAGACCACATATGAAATAAAATATATTATGTATTAAATATTATTGAAATATAATTTGTATATTAAATATATTATTTAATATATAATAAAATATTATATAATATATCATGTTATAAATAGCTAATAATGATAGAGAAATCAACAAAAACGTTCGGAAGGTTTGGGTTCCTAAGTTCCGAGGAGCTTAAACTTTCTCATTTTTTTATTTTAAAAAAAAATACTTTTTCTCCTTGGGTTCCCTTGCTGTAACATTTCCCGTGTAGCTAAACGCACTACAGTATCAAGAACGTTATCTTCAAGTTTTATTTTCTGCAAAAAAAAAAAAAGAAAAAAAAAGAAAACACAAAACGCGCCTTAAGATAAAAGATAAAAAACCAACATAGAATAATGGCTAAAAACACGGCCAAAATTCAGCGGACAATCGAAAAGGAAATGAGATCTCAATATTTACGTAGTGGTAATTGCCAAGTCATCATTTTGCGTGTAGCGTGGACAAGGGCTTTGATGTTCCAAAGATCTGCATCTAAAACCGACTTGCACTCGAGACCACGCTCACGCACACGCTCACGCTCTGCATAAGGAAAAACAAGAACATCAAAAAGTGGAAAAGAAGCCATGGCGTCAGAAGGTGCAGCGTTGGCGGTGATTAGGGCTTCGCGTCCTACTTTCCGAAACCCTAAAGACAAGGTCGCCTTTGCAGTTCATGCTTCATTTATTGCCGCTGGTTATTCTCTCATTGCTACTGGTAACCGGGTTTTCGCTGATGATCCTTCCTCATTTAACGGTGAGTTTTCACTAATTGTCCTGTAAAATTTCCCTTGTTTTGCATGTTATCAGATATACTTTTCGCTGTGTTTTTCTTTTCCTTTTTTACATTTGTAAGTTTATTAAGGTTCCTCTCTCTCTGTGCAATTTTCCATATTATTTGCAAAATTTTAGGGCAGGAAGAGGTTGGAATTGAAGGATGGAATGATTTGGAGGATTGTTATGGATATGTCTATTCAAAGCCTGAGAAGGGATCGAATAAATTGGTTTTGGTTAAGTGCTTAGCTATGGGAGACAAGCTGGTTGTTGATGCGCTTCGTATAGGAGATGAATCTAAAGAACCCTTAAACTTGGAAGTCAAGTAATTGTTCTTTCTTTTTCATTTTTTTTTAGTTATAACTAATTGATTATGTGCATGAACGATGGAGTAGTGAGTTAATCATGTTGAATGTTTATAATACTTGCAGTGTTAATGATTATGTGCGCGATGATGCAACATCTTCAAATTATGCCGAATTATACAAAGACTTTTCCAGGCTTGTAGACAAAATAAATTCTTCCATCTTGCTGAAAATTGAACCTCCAGTCAAGAAGGATACTACTTCCACTACTAGCAGGTACATAATCTGAGTTCCGATTATTTTTTTGAGTGCATATGTTGCCTGATTTCTATTATTTCCATGGTCTTTTCTCTTAAATTTTGTTGCTTATTTTCTATTTCCTTTCCCTTGAATTGAGTTTCCCTTTTGAACTTCCAAAAAGAAATTTAACCATGCCACATAATTCAATTGGACGTTTTCACGGACCCATAATTGAATGGTGTTGCTTTCGCATTTAATAGAAGTTAAAAACATCTATGGTTTATGTCAAACTCCAATGCAGACATCATGATATGTGTATCTTTAACTAAGAAGTGAAATTAATCGTTTGAATGGATATGTACTATTGCCGGAAAATGATAGCTGATGTATGCTTAACTTGTGCTGGTCTTCAGAGCTGCTTTTATAAAACTTGCTTCACAATCGCAGTGTATAAAAAAGCTAGAGGCAGTGCCTAGGTGGCAAGGTGTCTGACTGGCTGCCTAAACATCTGGTTGTTCAAAAACTCATAATTGCTCTCTCTGTCTCTCGTTCTCTCTCCGCAACCAAGAGGTGGCCTCTTGTTCTATTAAAGGTGGTTCGGCTACTAAATTTGCCTCTCATGGTGTAGTTTCAAACTGCATTTATAGATTAAGTTTAAGATATTGAAGGGTGTAACTAGATATCTCAGAATTCATATTTAATTTTGGAAGGAGATAAAAGCTACCAAATCAGTCTATTGAATTATGTTCCAATAATGTAGCGATCTTACTAATACCTGCTAATGTGGTGATTCAAACAAGACAATTCAAACATGGACGGTGCCACATAAGCCCCAAGGAGCCCACCTTTTATTAATTATTACAATCATTAAAATTTAAATTAATTCTATGTTTCACTTTGGATGCTAATTTTGTTAAATATGAGTGCGCTGGTTGTTTATGACCTCCAGTCTAGCTTCATGTTGCCAATGCTGCAAAATTCTTTTGTCTTTCCAAGCCTGAAAGGCTTATGCCCATTTTCCGAACTTGAATGTGTAATTAGGATCTTTTTCTTTTCTCCGTGATAAGGCAAGCAGCTAGAAAACTATAGTCTGTATATTGGGCCTTACTAATAACAAGAAATATCTATATTTTGCTTTTATGGCTAGGCAGTTGTTTGTGACACCTCCTAAACATTTGTCCTAGAGATTCTGCATATGTTAACTGACTTGCAAGGTTGAGCTCATTGTGCCTTTGAATTCATTCAACTTGTCTGGATCACCCAAAGTACAGCCTAGTGCATTGACATAGTTGATTGGTCTGCATTGCAACTTACCTGGACGGGGTCATTTGCGGTGATCAAGAAAGCTGATAGCCTAGTGTGGCTTCCCTCTTTGCAGGGTGGGTTGCCTTAGCATCTCCCCAACTTCGAGAATGCACATCATATTTACATTTATGAATCTTGCTTCCTGATTAGATAAGATTGGATCCATAGATGGTCCTAGAGAAAACACTTGATCTTATAAATGATGAAAGGTTTGAATAACCTGCATTTCTATGCATTTTTTCCAATTTCAAGGTTGACTGTTTCTGTTGCTCCCAATCATTCTTCTGCTTACCACTTTATCTATCCATAGTATTATTGGGCATTTTGTAGGGGCTTCATTTGTGACAGGATGATCAACAAGTTTGTTCATTTTGTGATGGAAAGGTGAACAAGGTGGTGCATCCTAGCAGCTTGTAGGATGTGTTGGCCCTAGTTATGGACTGAATTTTTTTTAACGACTATTGAACGTGCAATGTGGCCGCCTCACATATGTTCATAGAACACTAGCAGATTGCCCTGTTCCTTGGATACCCATGTTCTTCATGTGCCATGTTCGTGTCAAGTCTCAAAAACCTCCACTTTCTTGCATGTGACTTTGTAGTTGCATGTGAGTTTCTATTGACTTGTGTATGATCCTTGGTACCTTAAACTCTACTAAGTAGTTTAGTATTGCTGCAATTCTCGCTTAGGTAGGTATAGATGCTTTCCTTGTCCGGTTCTCTTTTAACTAGCTAATGTCTCTTTTGCTTCTTTGTTATTAGTGTTCATTGATGAAGATGACACATGCTTACTGGAGCCAATGGGTGCAACAAAATAGATGATACATGTTCTCTTTTTGTTTCTTCATGAACAATGAGTACTCGACATAGCTTCCATAATGAACCTCTACCATAACATGGTGACACAAGAAAAAAAAGGTGAAAAAGAAAGAAAAAACTCTAACCTAGCATGGTATGTTTTTCGATCTATGCTCTTGCAGATTGTTTGAGCCTGTAATTCTATTATGTGAAACCAGTTGAAGACAAATGCTTCCTTCTGCTAGTTCCATGCAAGATAACATTCTTATTCCCTGGTAAGTTGGCATGCCAGTTCCCATAGGCCATGAGGGAAAGGATCACTCTAATGGAATTTATATTTTGCACAAGGGTGAATTCCTCTGTATGGTCTACTCCATATGTTACAGTGACCCCTTTTGCCACAAATTGAGCCTTGTACCTCACTGAGAACCATCAGTTTGACCATCCAGATGTTACACGTACTTGCAACTGACCAGATTCTTACTTCTGGATGTTACAACGATATTTCAGGTTCTTGTTTATCCAAGCCATTGAGCATCTCATTTCTTCTTGCGTTCTATGCTGGATGTCACTGAGAAATGGAATAGCAAGAACTGTATAGATGATCCTTATGTCAATTCGCAAGTCATAATGAGAAACGAAGTGTTGAATTAGATGGTCTCTACAACTCTGCAAGAATTTTTCCCCCCCCTCCCAAGTTCATCACTAGTCAAATTGGACAAACAAATTAGGGAAAAGTTAAAAGGTCACTCTTGAGATACATAGCTTTCCTTATTTTTGGGATCAAATATCTTAGTTTCGGGATCAAAATATTTATAGCATTCCAGGTGGCAGGGTAATCAAGGAATACACAACTACTAGTCTTTTGCTCCAGTTTCTGCATTTGAATATCTATGGGTTAAACAAAGCGTGCACGGCTGCAAATACACAAATGCTTATGCTGGAGAAGTTAGTTTTGCGAAAATGGAAGTTGATCTTTCACGTGTAGACATGCCGTTAATGGTGGCAGCAAGCAGTAAGAATTGCTTGAAAAGCTATAGATCTTACGTGTGTTCATCGAGAGCAAGATAGATCAAGTGACTCCCAACAAGTGATGATTTTCTCCTTCTGCAAGTCCATAGGGTTGGATGAGTAGGGATGAGTAATCCCATACTCTTGCATCGCAAAAGGAGATTTTTGTTACAATACTTGCTATTCTTATCTAATTTGAAGTTTTTATTTGCACCTAAAATTGCGATGTAATCATTCCATGGTGATTCTAGGAAATTTCGTATTAAACTTCATGTGAATGATTATAGCATCTTGAAATAGTTACCCATGAAGGAAACGTAGTCCAATCCAATTATTAAAAAATGGAAGGAAAAGGTGCAGTTCCCTAGATATAAAGGAAAAGGTGCAGTTCCCTAGATATAAGAGTGAACTTATGAGAAAAGGCCATCACTATGGTGAATTTATGAGAAAGAATTTGTGAGGAAAGGGCATCACCAGGATTTTTAATATGGATAAATAGATGTATGATGTTGAAGCAATTGGCATATTTGACAATCTTGATTTTTGTTTTCCACATATTTACTGATATGCGTGGAGGAGGAATGAGCTTATGACAGAACTAGATGCATGCCACATTGTGAGTGCTTTAGGTACACATCCTTTTTTCTGTTCGTTGTTACCCTTGTTTCATAGGTCTTGAAAATCACAAGGCTAGAAAGAATGTGCAGTAAAATTTTAGTTTTCGGTGAAACTGTATGCAAATAAATTGATGGGGAGATTGTAATAGTTCAAGTCCACTACTTCTCGTTGAAAAAAAAAAAGGTTCCCGTACTTGTGACTTGAGATAATGATCCTTACAAAAGTTTTGACACTTCCTAGCTGGCAACAACTTGCGAAAGAAGAAAGCACACAATGATACTTGTCATGTGATCGATAGTTCCTGTAACAGGAATTTAAAAAGGAATGTGGTCATGAGATGTCTTGTGTTGTATAAAAATGTCTGTAGCCTTCAGAGTACAAAATTTCTTCAGGTTTGTCTCTGAATTGCAGCTCGGGATACGAAACTTTGAGAACCACTGCATGTCATTAAATTACCTATTTTATTCTTATGAAAACATTTTGAATATAATTTATAAATCCTGTGAATGTCTTTTCTATGATTGAGAGCTGGGTCATCATCTTTCTTTACTCGATGTAATTTCTACGTAATTCTTTAGACTAATGTAACTAAATGGCCTTCATTGTTCTTGTATTTGGAAGGTAGAGTAACCAGAATTACTATGGTGTTATGTGCTCAAGCATTACTTGCACAGAATGCTCTTTAGCTGTAACTTGTAAGAAATCTGAATTTTGGAATATTTCTGCAAGTCCTACAAGTTCTGTTTTAATGATATGTTAATTGGTAGGATTGGAGCTCTTGTCGTTATGTTGTGGCTCTGCCACCCTGATTACCATGCCAATTGCCATGATCCCTGGTCTTAAGAGTCTGACCAATATCTTTTATTTTGTTTGAATTTTGATCATATGAGGACAAAGTTTTATTACTCTAAATACTCACCAACAGCTATAAAACCCAATATCTTTTATTTTGTTTGAATTTGGTCATATGAGGACAAAGTTTTATTACTCTAAATACTCACCCACAGCTATAAAACTTTGGGGATAGATGAACTAGGAATATGCCTAACCTTTCTGGTATCAAGGTCTCAGGATTTTTGGCTCTTCATGACGAAGAGTATTGCCGAAAAAGAAGAGGAGAAAAGAAATTTGTGCCACAGTTTTAGAAAAGAATGTAGCGAACTGAACTTAAAAAGCACCAAAACTTGCTAAAATCCCTAAAACCCGCCATGCTATACTAGGGATTTTCGATGTGAGTGATGGTTGGGTTCTTGGGCAGACAATTATTTCTTGGAATTTCATTGATCTTGGATTTATTGTACATCTCCCTCCCTCCCTCCCTCCCTCCCTCATCAATGAGACGTTATATCTTAGAAGTTGTGTAACACAATACTCTATAGATGGACAAGTGCAGGAGCAATGGCTTTCATTTACCATCCTTCACCGTCTAATAGTGAATAATTACAACTGAATGGAGGTGCTATTATAGGAATGGGTAAAACTGACAAGTTGCATAAGATGAATAAGTCTACAACATGCTCGGGATCCATATGCATATGAAGGCGAATAAAATGAAGCATTGGATGAGTTGTTCGGATTTTATAAATAAATCATCCAGGGATTTCTTCGGGAAGGGGGGGGTGGGGGGGGGGGGGAATCCTCTTTTGGGTTTTTAAAATTTTCTATCAATAACTCCTAACTCTAATAAAGAGAAGAAATGTTGCCCCTTTTGTGAGGCAAGTCACTTATTTTGAGACAATCATGATTGATAGCAACAGGACAAAATATGGAATATGGAAGTATTTCCAAGTCAATTGAATATGTTGGCGTAGGATATGTCAGCTTCCAACTTGATGGTATGTGATGTTCCAATCTACATAATTGTCAATGTGCCTGCTGAAGAACCGAAATTTTTATTCCAACAGGAATATCAATACTCATCTGTCACTTGGGTTGCATATCAAGTGTAATAGTGCATAAACTTGATGGGAACTACATTCTAGCATCACTCATTATGTATATCACTGTCTTGAAGAATGGGAGTGAATATTAAAGGTTCACATGTATGCTTATGATACCCACTCAAAATAATTTAGCTTGGTAGATTTTGATGTTGCCATCATGCAAGTGAGAGCATCTTCTGGGACTGTATGATTTTATCTTGGTGGAACTCCAGAAAGGTGGCATTGTGTTTCTTGGATAACCAACTCTATCTCTTGTTCTGGATGGGGAGTAGTATGTACAGCAAGCCAACTAGAATCTACTTTGTGTAGCTGTTCCCGCATGCATTCAACTTGTGAGGTAACGGAGATCCTTTATTTGACATTGAGTTCTCATTCCCCTTATATACAGGCATGATTTTTATCCAGTTTCCCTTTTAGTCCCCTCGCTTTCCATCCTATCCCTAACTACCCTGATGTTAAATATGTTGTAAACTGTCCCCCATAGCAATTTTCTCCCCATACAAGTATCCATCCTCCACGCCATACTTCCAAGGGCATGTGGCCCACACCTTATTCTTTAATTAGCATCTAAACATCCTTACACTTGGAAATGCTTAGAGTGAAGTTACAAATGCATACTGAGTGGGTAAAACCTTGCATGCTTTCTAGCATCCAGTCAGAGCAGCTACATCTGCAGAGCATGTGATTCTTTAGAAATGTCTGCACACCTACTTTTTCTGAAGCCTTTTGTGAGGGATGTGACACATGACTTCAAGGAGGTCAACCATCCTAGTGTTGCTTTTGTCCAAGCACAACATAACTGAATTCTTTCAGTCTATGCATAGCTAACTTAAACTTTCCATTGCTCACTCTCTCTCTCACTCAAATGTTTGGGCCATTGCTTCATGTTCGTTGGATTGCAATTCTTTTCGTTTTCCTGCTTCCTGGTTCTATGCCTTAGTACTTAGGGCTTTGTCGTTTTCTTTTTTGCGTGCGTGCCTTTTAGGGACCGCTGACTAGAAACAGTTGAGCTTGAATCTATGTTTGCTTGTGACATTGTATCCTAGTGTCCTTGATGTTTTCAGGTGCATTGCTTACATGTTGTTTTGTTGTGTCTCAGCTGAGTTAAATAGGGAGTTTTATATAGAATTGGATAAAATAAAGAAGTAAATTAGATATTTGTGGCCCAATTCAAGTGCAATGTCAGGATGTATATTCACATGCATGCATAACAACACATAATTATGGTATCCATGGAGTTGAACTGCTTATTGTGCAAATAACCAATGCTGCTAGGCTATGGCTTTTATGGCATATATCGAGGAATTATTTTAGTGGAAGAATTGAGAACATATAGAAAATTAGAGATAGAAGTAAATTAGCTTCCCATTGTGGTTGTTAAGAATCAAAGTGTCTTGCAATATTGCTTATGGTTTGAAAGTAGCTTGACATGTTTATGATATAGGAACAATGTTCGAGCCCTATGATGAAGTCTCTGACTCCATTCTCACCAAAGGGTAGGGGCCCAAATCCCTATTGACTTGTCCTTTTTTTATTTATTTTTTTGAGAATGGCCTGGGGCCTTGGCGGTAGTATTGCCGAACCCCATGGTGAGGTCTCTGACTCCATTCTCACCAAAAGGTAGGGGCGCAAATCCTGACTGACTTACCACTTTTTATAAGTCCTAATCTACTTGAAAAAATGGGTAGGGGCCCGTCTTCCCCACTGAATTACCCAAAAACAAAGTTAAAACTATTCAGCTTCTTTGCATGTTTTGCGCTAATGTTTGTTAGACTAGCTGTCTAGTAGTACTTTCAATGCTATCACTCATTATGTTGTCGTATATCTTTGGCAGGTTAGAAATTGGTGAAGGGTCTGAAGGGGAGCAAACTCACCCCAGTGTAAGCATTCCACTACAGCATCAACCATACTCGGGGTATTTCCTCATAACGATTTTCTTATTTTCTATGTTAATTTTCTTTATAATCATTTTTGTTTAGGATGTATAAGATTTTAATAACATTTGTTATTATTATCTGGCTATAGCTATTGTGCTAAGTGTTCTAAAACTAGGAATAACTTTGGAACTAGGCGAGTTCCTGGAGCAAATCATCTCAGCGATTCCCAATTTGACTCGTTGAATTGTGCCCGAGTCCAAGAAAAAGGCCTCCTTAAAATCCCAACTGAATCTGGGATCATCATCATCATCAAAGCTTGTCCCAATAACTTGGGGTTGGCTCCAAATGAATCTGGAATATTTATGAAAAATTAAAAGAGAAAAAACATTAAAATTTATGAAAAAAAGTTAATCTCCATATGTACATAGGTATGTTTGGAATACACATAATCATCTAATGTAACATTTTATAAATCTATAGATTCTATTGCAAATTTAAGTAATTCCTATCAATCTGCAAGATTCCACTTCATGTTAAACGTAAACAGTAGGAATCCAACAGTCAAATATGCAATATATAATTAGTAGAGTCTCAGTCTCACAGTAACAAGGAGTTAGAGACAGTACAGAGAAACATGATGACATGAGGAAAGAGAGGCACTCTAATTGCAAACATCGATCTCCAATGAGAATGGGCTCTAGGTAGAGCTGGATAGGGTTGTTGGTGCCACTTTCCAGAGTTCCATTCTCACCAGGTTCACAAAAAAAAAAAAAATTGGTCTTCAACAATATTTTTAGAACTTGAACAAATCGACTTCGACTTGCCTCAGTCACTTGGGCTCGATACCCTACCGATACCATAAACACCCCAAATTGGGATTATATTAATGTGCTACAATACGTTCCTACCCAGACCATAAACCCCCAAATTGGGATTATAGTAATGTGCTAAAATATGTTGTTAGCATATCAACTTGCTGTGCACTGTAGCAACTTAACATTTTTTTTTATTTTATTTGGGCTCGACAAGAGCAAAACTCCCTTGAGTTTGATAAAAATACAGGAATATAAAGGGGGATATAAAAATTCAGGAATATAAAGGAAAGTTTGCCAAGGTAAAAAAAGGCGTGTCACATAACATTTATTTGCATATCTATGCAATGGAGAGAATATTGCTTGTCTAAATTTTCAATTTACAGATTACAATTAGAAGGAAAGTTCGCCTCTTTCAACACTTCATTTTTGTGCATCCTCATCTTGCTCCAATCTTCCATTACATAGAACTTCACTCTTTCCATAATCTCAGGGTACCCGGCTTTGACCTGGTTCATAATAAGGTGCCTGATTAAAAAAGAAAGTTGGGTATGTTGTTCAATATATGCATGACCTTAGATACACTGCCGCAGCCCACAAGGCACATAAATCACAAATTGAGATATAATTACATAGCTAAACCAGAAATTTTGTCTCCATGATAAATGAGGCCCTAGACCAAAGCATGCACATGCTTGACAAAATGCCATGGCATCAGCCTTTTGCAGAGGAATTCCCACTAATATAACACTGTAATGCTTTAAGCCTATGCCTATATGAGTTATGACTTCTGAGATTTTGAAGACACTCCTTGCTCTAGCTATGAGGGACTGCAAGTGTTCCAGAAAATGCTGGCGGCGCCTAGGCAGCGAAGGAGGTCCAGGCTACCCATCCCCGAGCTGGACGCCCAGATTTCTGGGTGGTGTCCTGTTTTAGGTCCAATTGTGTATGAAAGCTGCATATGCAGGCATTTTTTTATACATTTTTTAGGTTCAATCAATCCAAGTTAAACCAAAGCGTATGACAATTAGGCAATTAGTCAATGAACTTCATAGCCCATACTATCCTAGTCCATAGATAGGAGGGGAAAAAAAAAGGAAAGACATATAGACTTGAATAATATACTAAAAATTTGTGAAGGGTCTTTCCATATAGTTATTCACAAATAAATCAACCTATGTCCAAACAAGGCTTACGAGCTCATCTTCAGTTGAGCTTTTGAGTCCTAGCTCACGTTCACCATATTGGATATGATTGGTTGATAATCCACTATTTGTCTCATCAAATGGGATTGCAACATCAAAGAATCACTTTAGCCTTCTGAAGTTTCTTCTTAATTGTCTTCCTAATGTGGACTTTAGAGTCTTCTGGCCCATAGTTACCAGGATCTTCTAAGCAGTGTGTCACTCCTGCTTCGAACTCTTGATCTCGCGCATCGAGACATGGGATCTCGATTCCGGGCTTTTCCTTCATTTAGGGATCCTAACTGTGGAATCGAGGAACTAGATCCTAGGTGGGATCCAGATTCATATGCCCAAAATCATTGTTCCATGATTAACTGGAACCACAATTCCGCCAACTTGGAATCAAGTATCTTCTACTCTAGGAGCGAGTTTCACGAACGATTTTTTTAGGTTCATATAAAACGAATAGTGGATCTTCAATTTTTTATTACTACAATCTTTCTAAAGGCCCTAATTTCCTATATATTTCATAGTCTACAATTTTATGCACCTTGTGAATTGTGACTAGTTTCAACAAACGGAACAAGAGAGGGTAGGGAGGGAGAAGGAAAAAGATGGAAGGAGAGAAGAAATAGTTTGAGTTGTGGTACTAATTGAGGAATGAGGTCACAATGAAATATGCTTAAGCTTGACATCCTTGGTGCTTGTTCATAGGGTCTCGTCCACCTCTTGAAGGACTTTATTGCTTGAGTGTCGGTGACCCAAATTGTGCCACTTATGGGGTTGCTTTATGGGTGATGGAATAACTATATGCTTGGAAATGTGAGGTCCCTCTCGTCTATATGTCCTTGAGCTCCTAATAATCTTTGACGGATGAGAGCTATTGAGAATTATATTTTATATGCCAATTTCGTTCTCTTTTTTCAAAGGACAGCTTATCTATCACATCAGTTCTTTTTGAAAATAATCTATTGCAGCATTCTTAAATGATTAATTGATAGTCGAAGGGGAATCATACAATCCAAGTGATTGGTGCCAAAAATGATGTTGTGTGCGTACAATATAGGTAGGTGTGCAATTATTGTAATTGACCCACATGATTAGTTTTTTGGAGTGCAACTTGCTTAATTAATTATTCAATGGGATTTGCTTTTGATCTACAATACCGTGGATAAGTGTTTTTTGGGAGCCTTGATCCTAAGCTTTTTGGACTGTGATCCTGTTTAGTTTAGCATATTGTCTTGGGAAGTTATGGAACACACTCTTTAAATGTTAGGGATCTTGATCCCATTACCTCATGATATACGTAACTCATTCCCTCAATTACAGATCTTCGAGCCTCCTTCGCTTCTGCTTTTCCGCTTTCAATCTCGGAGCTGTCAATGCTCTCCTTCCTTGTATGTTTTGGTCTACTTTGGGCCTATACGAAAAGGGGTCAAGTCGACCGTGGATATGCTTGGTAGGCAGGGTCAAATGCGAAAGCCACATACTACGTTGCATAGCCTAGGGCTGGGAAGAGTGAAAACTGGTGGGTCTTTTCTTCTATAGCACGTCTTCTAGACTGATCCTTCTTGCACCCTCAAGTTGGGGTTAATCTTCTTCTTTTTCCTCATAAGAAAGTGCATTGTATACTCTTTGTATCTCTTTGACCACAAGCGTGGCAATGAACTCGGACCTGACGACCGTACTCGACCAGGGTTCAGGTATGGGTTAAGAAATTGGACTTGACAAGTCAGGTCCAGGTCCAAATATTGGATCCGAACACTATTCGGGTCTGGGTCCATGCGTGCCCGACCAAAGTAATTGAGAGTGCCAAGGGGCTATATATCAGAAAGAAAATTATGAAGGTCTAAATGCGTGATTCATATAATAAAATGCGCTACATAAAAAGGAGATAAAAAACTTCCAAAAAGAGAAGAACACCATTACTTTTGATTTTCATTGATATATCCTAATTGAAACATCTGATAGAACTTTTTCTTATTGTGGAACCCGCAGGTTCTTTTCTGAATCTCAATGCTTTGAAGCAGTTGCCCTTGCTTTGCAGACCTGAACGTGTACAGATGGTTGGATTTTAAAAGATCAATTAAGAAATAGATAGGATGAATATTCTACAAAACTATGAAATTGTGACGTTTCTTTATGTGTTATTTAAACCATCCCATATATATGCATTATGAAGGATTTCTGGCCTTTTATGAAGTATTCCAATTTGAAAGTTGGGTGAAACTGAATGAAAAGGAGTCTCGTAAGTCAGGAATGCATCTGTTATAATAACCATATTTGCCTATCTTTGATCAAGCATTAAGCCCACAATTCGTCCTTGAAATTTATGCTTATTTTCAACTTTTTATAATAAACCCTGAGACATCAATCCTCTTCTTAGCAATAAAAAACAAATACAATAAAAAAATTTGCTTGACCATATCCTGAAACTATTGGTAATACTATTATTATCAATTTTTTATAATGGATTGGTAATATTTTTGATACTAGACGTTTGGAAGTGCATGGGGGAGATTGGCGTTGAATGACTGACCAAGCTGTGTTGGGAACAAAGAAAATGCCAGACGAATGGAGCAAAGGTACTGTAGTACCTATTTACCAAAACAAAAGAAAAATGTATAATTATGCAAACTATTGAGGGATCAAACTTATAAGCCACACTATGAAGCTCTAGGAGAGATTAATTATGACATGAAACGAGTGCATCGGAAAACCATTTCGGTTTTATGCCTGGGAGGTCAACAACCAAGGCTATTTTCTTACTTAGGCTATTGATTGAGAAGTTTAGGGTGAAGGGAAAAGACCTATGCATGGTCTTTATTGTTCTAGAGAAAGCTTATGATAGAGTACCTCAAGATTGGTGGGTGTTGGAAAAGAAAAGACTCTCCAGACACTACATCGACTTGGTGATAGATATGTACGATGGAACACTAACTAGTGTATGAACAACTAGTGGAGAGATGAGTAAGTTTTGAGTGACAATAGGCCTATGTCAGGGGTAGCCCATACCTGTTTGTCTTAGTTATGGCCAACTTAACTAGGCACCTACAAGATGAGGTACTGTGGTGCATATTCGCAAATGACATAGTTTTGATCGATGACGAAACGGTGTCAACACAAAGAACATTGGAGGGATGCTCTAGAATATAAAAGTTTTAAAATCAAATAAAGACTAATTCTCACTATTTCGGAATCGCGATTAAAAAAATTAGGAATCGTGTTTCCTATTTGCAAAAATCGATGTCCCTTCATGTTGGAATCGCATTTCATACCTATATGGAATCTCACATGACCCCACTTGTTTCGGTAGTTGCTGGAATCGTGATTCGATTAGATTGGAATCGTGATTCTTAAAAATATTGAATCGTGATTCCTAAAATTCTAGAATCGTTGTCCCCATCAACTTGGACTCAACATTCTCACCATTCTGGAATAGTGATTCTCCCCATATTGGAATCAAGATTCTCCCCTTATTAGAATTGCGAACCAATTCCCTCCGGTATATGAGAGAAGTATTTAGAAAATATATAAATTTACCCATTACTGCAAGATCAAATTTTGGTCTGTATATACTCAGTCCAAGACTCCAAGTACTAATGTCAACCTTTGTGATAACTTTGTGGACGATCCCATACAATGGACTCGGTCTACGACATACAAGGAGTGAGAAGAAGGGTGAGCTCCCTTTATCTCCTTTCCTTGAATTATAAAATAAGTATTTGACATAGTAATTCTTCTTTGTTAAATGTAGTTTTGAGTCTTTTGACTTTTGACAATTGAGTTATTCAATCTTTAGTTAATTTCTCTGATATTAAATGATTAATTTAATTTCTCTGATATTAAATTATCTTCTTATTCTACTTAAAGAAAAGCATTTTTATCCTCTTATTCAACTTGAAGAAATGACGGTGCCGATCATATATTAAACATTATTACATTAGTAGTTTAATACTCACACCATTTACCAAACATTATTAAATTTGAAGTAACATATTTTTTTAGTATTATTTATTCTTGGTAAGAGTTATTAGAAAGTAACATGGAATGAAGGATGGAAATTAGTAAATAAGAAAATAAAAAAATTTAACATATTATCCATATTTTAAATTTTGATTTTATTGGCGTGTGCAACAACTTCAAATTCTCTCACGTTCTTATATATTGTCGCGCTCACTCATAATTGAGCACACATCGGAGGGTTTCTGCTCTCCTTATGCTCACATTACTTTCATGTTATATATTATTTAGTTGAACACTTGAAGTTCCTATGCTCATATTACTTTCATGTTCTATTATTTAGTTGAAGACTTGAAGTTCCTATTCTTGCATTACTTTCATGTTATATTATTTAGTTCAAGAATTGAAGTTCCTATTCTCACATTACTTTCATGTTATATTATTTAGTTGAACACTTGACGTTCTGATTCTCACATTACTTTCATGTTATATTATTTAGTTGAACACTTGAAGTTTCTATTCTCACATTACTTTCTATTTAGTTGAAGACTTGAAGTTCTTATTCTTGCATTACTTTCATGTTATATTATTTAGTTCAAGAATTGAAGTTCCTATTCTCACATTACTGTCATGTTATATTATTGAGTTCAAGACTTGAAGTAAAGATTGAACGCATTTAACATGGGAAACAAGATGCAACTTTTAGAAATACTAAAACTATTGAAGTTTAGTTTGAAGACATTTAATGAGGGAGACAAAATGTAACCCATTACAAATAAAAAAAAACTTGTAGTGTTAAGTAAAATTTGACAAAATTTAATTTTGAGAAAAAATATTATTATTTTTATTTGCTCGACTGTGTTCGCATGTTCCTATTGAATAGTCATGTGCATGGGGTAAGAGTGAATTTATGTTAGAGGATTGTTGTGTAGCAAGGAATCACGATGCTTGCGATATAGAAACTTGATTCCAAACAACATGGATTTGCAATTCCAAAAAATTTGGAATCAACGTTTCTCACAGTTAGAATTGCATTCTTGTGTATCTAAGAATCATAAAGTCCTCGACATGGAATCTTGATTCCGACAATCCAGAAATCGAGATTCCTAAACTAGGTGGAATTGTGTTCCGCAAAAAATGGAAACATGATTCCTTTCTTTTAGAATTGACTTTCGCATGTGGAAACGCCGAATCGAGATTCCAAAACTGAATTGCTACCCTCATAAGCGATTCGGGTAACTATAGTATGACCCTTAATAAAGCAGAATGGCGGATCAGGATTCGTGTAGCCGATCCCAATTAATTGGGAAAAGGCTTTGACGGTGATGATGATGATTTGTAATATTATTGACGATACTATTTTAATACACTAGAAAGCTTATGATAAAGTACCCCGAGATTTGATTTGGTGGCTGTTGAAAAAAAAGGAGTCTCTAGACACTACATTGACTTGGTGAGAGATATGTACAACACAGCGCTAGCTAGTATACGAACAACTAGTGGAGATACGAGTGAGTTTTCACTGATAATAAGTCTACATCAGGCGTCAGCATTGAGCCCATACCTCTTGTCTTAGTTGTGGATGGCGTAACTGAGCACCTACAAGATGAGGTATTGTCGTGTATATTGTTCGCGGATGATATAATTTTGATCTATGCGACCCGAAATGGCATCAATACAAAGTTAGAACTTTAGAGAGATTATCTAGAATCTAAATATTTTAAAATTAGCTGAACTAAGAAAGAGTATATGGAATGCAAGTTTAGTAATAATAGGAGGAAATACAAGGAAATAGTTAAGATTGACGGCTAAGAAAATACTTTCGATATCTTGGGTCGATAATCTAGGAAGATGGAGAGATTGAGGAAGATGTTGCACATATAATTAAAGTTGGGTGGGCGAAGTGGATATGTGCTACTGGAGTTTTATGTATGCATACCAATGAAGCTAAAGGACAAGTTCTATAGAACAACTGTGAGACTAACTTTGCTTTATGGAGCGGGTTATTCGGCGGTCAAGAAACAACATACCCAGAGAATGAATATAGCTGAGATGAAGATGTTGAGATGGATGAGTGGCAAGACAAGAAGTGATAGAATTTGAAATGAATACATTTGAGAGAATTTAGGTGTGGCACCAAAAGGCGATAAGATGAGAGAGAGTAGACTTAGGTGGGCTGGCCATGTGCTACACAGACCAGGTATGACACCTACTAGGAGGTGTGAGTTAGTTTAAGTGGAAGGCTAAAAAAGGCAAGGGGTAGGCCCAAAAGGACATGGTTGGAAGTAGTAAGAAAAAATATGGGGACTTATGGCTTCACTGAGGGTATGGCCTTTGACAAAGCTAAATGGTGGATCAGGATTCGTGTAGCCGACCCCAATTAGTTGGGAAAGGCTTTGATGGTGGCACTTTCAATATATTGGGGAAGATTTTATTTTGGGAATTCTATTTGTGGTTGTTGAACTGTTCAGCCCCTTTAATGATGATGATGACGATGACACACTCAATATATTGGGGAAAATTTTCTTTTGGGAATTCTATTTATGGTTGTTGAACTGTTCAGCTTTTAATGTTTTCAGTGATTTCTCTACAATGAAATTCAACTTATTGCTCAATTAACGAGAATTGTGAAGACTACTGAGCTAGATCTTGGAATCCAGCAAGTACGAAGGCAATTTTTTTTATTTAAAACAAGAAGTGGACAACCTTGATAGTCTAAATTTTTAATAGTAAAATAGCTCTTATATTCAGTGGAAAGCCCAATGTAATGTTTTTCAATCTGTCTCTTTTGCTTTTTGTATCCCCATTGACATTGTTATTCGGTACTTTCTTTTTCATTTAAAAAAGAGTGTATTCATCACTGGTGTATTCATCACTGGCAAGAAAGTTCTATGAAGATTGTGCAAAGATTAGAATTGAGTTTACAAATTTGCAAAAACTGTTACTCTTCTTGAATGTAGGTCCGAATCTTATTCCTTAGTGGACCTCATTTTCTCCTATTGTAAATATGCTCATCTTAGAATTGAGTTTGCAAATTTGCAAAAACTGTTACTCTTCTTGAATGTAGGTCCAAAACGTATTCCTTAGTGGACCTCATTTTCTCCTCTTGTAAATATGCTCTGTCCAGATTTCAGATTATATAATGGCATTTCCTTATCTGTTTTCTGACTATAGTTTTGTTTGAAATGACTTACAGCCTTCGAGTCCCTCCAGTGTTTCCAGTGGGAATCAGTGATCTTTTACCAGGTCCTGGTGCTGGCATGTATCCCAGGTTTATGCACATCTCTAGTTTTGTTTTCCTTTGATAGTCATCTTTGATCTTTTTGTTTTTTTTGTTTTTTGGTTGGCCTCATACCACTTTTTCCTTCTTGTTTAAAGTATCTCATCCCCTTATGGGCTTCTGATCAGGGGTGACTTTGGCATTGGTGGTGATATGCTTTTAGGTCAGTGACCTTTTATTTGAGTCCTTTCTAATATAACCTTTGATTTTACCAACCTTTTTTTCTCGAGTATTACAGGACCGAATGATCCACATTGGGGGTCTCTTGGTGGAGGACAACCTGTGTTTCCTGGTGGAATTCCGTGAGTCATTCTCTTCTCGTGTTTTATTCTTTTTTAAGACCTTACTTTGTATTCCTATAAGTTGATCATTGACCCATGTGTTATTTGGCCAAGATCTTGCACACTGGCTTCCTTTTTCCTTGAGCCATGTTTAGCTTAAGATAGAATAGTTGCCAAAACTTGAGGGTTTCATGAGGACTTCAAATATGCATCACAAAAAGGAAAAAATTATATATAAAGTGTTAACCTTATACTATTGAAGAGAGGTGCACCTCAAAAGTCCTCTAGAATAGTGTTCTGACATTGGAAAACCCTCCAATTTATATCTCAACCTCCAGATGATACAAGGAAAAATGAATTTTAAGTCTTAAAAATACTGATCTTGTAATAATTTATCTGGGCCATCTAATCTATTTTCAACATTTTAAAATGTTTATAGATCTGTTCAATTTATTTTTGGAATTTTAAGTTTCATAACTAGAGATGAAAATAGATTTTTAAGCTATCATAAGGTTTCTGACATTGGAACTATATCTCGAGGCACAATCTAGATGTGCGCCTTACTTCTAAGAACGGCATGTTATATAAATCTCACCCTTTAAAAATCATGCATTATTTTTGGAAAAAAGATGAAATGGTGCTGAATGGATTGATACATGAGGGAGAGCTCAGTTGCCTCTTGACAAAAGGGAAAGTCTCTCTCTCTCTCTGCCCAATTTATAAAAGGCCTTCAGTTTGTTCCTCTCAATCTTGTTTGTGTTTTTGAAAGCCAGTGCTTCAATTAACATCTTTCAAATCTGTGTTGCCTGCCTTTAGTTTTGTTCCTTTGAGTTGTTTTGAGGGCTTTGTTTTTTTTCTTCAAAATCAGTGATAACTGATGTGGTTTAGCCTCTCATAATATAAACTAAAACAACAATATCTTGTGACATTCTGATTTTATGATGCTCGGTGAATCAGGGGAGTACCTCCAGGTGCACGGTTTGAGCCTTATGGCCCTCCAGGTGTTCCTGGTTTTGAGCCCGGCTGTTTTGTAAGGTGGGTACTTGAGTGTGTTACGTTCCAAACTTCCTACTTTTATAGTTATTAAAAAAAAAGAATACTGCTTTAATCATAGATTCATTATGTTCCTGAAGTATATAATTAATTTTGCCGAAACACTATCATTTTATAGAGGTAATGTTTGTTGGACGAATGCCTAAAGAAACTCTTAAAAAGCTCCTTGTATATGAGTAGACCTCTGAGGAAACTCCTGCTGCTCTCTACCTATGCTATACGCACACTTCAATTTTTTTTTTTGCTCAATGAAAAATGCTATATTGCATCGGATATCCTCAACAAAGATTTTGCAGGAATCCAAGGCGGCCACCTGGGAATGGACATCCAGACCTTGAGCACTTCTCTCCATTTTGAAGTTTTAGCAAAGGCCTTTTTGTTTTTTTCTATAGCTAGCCTTCTCTCCATGACCCCCTGCCATCCTCTGAAGTCTGCACCTCTCTCTCGGTTGTTTTTTTTAAGGCTTTTTTTTTGTTTTGTTTGGGTGTTGATAATGTAATATGAGCACCTTACAGTGAGCTACATCTGAATCATTGGGATTTTACGAGGAGAAGCACTTTTATATTCTCATTTGTGAAAGTCATTCTCTTAGCTATTTGTGGAGATCACTAGTGTCTCCCCTTCTCTCAAGTTTCATGGGATTTTTGGGTTTGGTTTTGAATGATCTCTAAACTGTTTTATTTATGGTGTGGGAATTCGAACCCTAGGAGTATTATTGTGGATAAGAAATTTAGTTTAAAACATTTAGCTTACCTAGAAGTCTATTGCTAGAAGTCTATTGTGCATAAAAAATTTCAGCTTAAACCATTGAGCTTATGTGAAAAATATATCCACTCATCAAGGGCTTTTGGGAAAACATTTCCACTGATCAAGGGTGGACGGTTGTTGGATGGCTCGAGGCAAATCATAAGTGGTGGGCCTTGAGCCGTTGGCCATTTCCTCATTGAGAAAACCACCTCTCTCTTAACCCCATGCTAGAGTGAGGAATTCGGTTTGGGTTTTGAGTGGTTGGTAGTTGACATTAGTTATGTTATATTCAGTGTAGAAAAAACCGAATCGGAATGGTTAGTTGGACATGAAGCCGTAAGGGGTTATTTAGTACTAATTGGTAAACTGGCCGGTTCAACCGGCCTAACCGGCCGAGGCGAGTTTAGGGTGTTTAAAAAAAGTGTTAAAAGAATAAAAAAAAATGAAAAAATTTTAAAAGCATGATTAAATGAATCACGTTACAAACGCAGTCTTTTATCTTTAGGGGTTTTATATAAATTTTTTTGAGTTTTTGTTAACAATATCCAGTCGGTTCATCAAAACCGGTTGAACGGATTGGTCCTAATCTAACGAGGCAGTTAGAGTTTGAACATTTTTCCATATTTGAAGTTTGATTTTTATTATTGAACTACCAAAAATAAATAACCCCATAATGAATCCCTTCTCTCTAGCTCCAACGCTCTTTGTTTCTTCCTTGTATTGAACAAGGTGGACAACTTCAAATTTTGGAGATCGACGGTCAGAATGCTCTTGTTTTTTTCTGCAAAAAGTCGTGCAAATAAGTTTGGGTCATGCTTGAATTTTTTTCCTTTTTAATTAAATCTTGCTCCTCTCAGCACCACCTATAGATTCAACACACCAGAAGCTCTCTCTCTCTCTCACTCCTGCCCACCCAACAAATACAGTGCTTTCTACCCCTATGCAGTCTCCGTTCCCTTTTTGAGAGATGTTTTCTGAAGCTCTCTCTCTCTTCTCATTCATAATCACTCACGATCAGTACTAAACGTCACCTTCTCTGTAACAATTCAATATCCCATTGTATATCTCTAGTTTGATTTTTACCATTTTTTTTTTTTTTTTTTAAAATTAGCCTAGTTTAAGTTCTACCATTGAACTACCAAGAAAACAAAAAAAAAACCATATTGAAAACCGTTCCGACTTGCTCTAATAATTTGTCTCTCTTCTTTTGTTGAAATACAACATTGGTAAGAGTTTGGATGTACCCAATACTGGGCATTTTCTTTTTCCTTTTTTTTAATGACGAGCCAAAAATATTTGGCGAGGTGTTGAGCAGCTTGGACAACAAGAAGTTTTTGAGATTGATAGTTAAAAAAACATTCTCAGACTATGGGCGATGCCATGTAATGCAAGCTGCAAGTCATTAAAATGTTGAAAACTTATTGTTGAAAAATATAAAAACACTGCAAGTCATTAAAATGGAAAGCAAGCTTGCTTAATATCCAACTGCAAGTCCTCTATTAAACTCGCACTATCAAAAAATATAAAAAAATTATTTTCAATAAAATAAAATAATCAAAACACCTCTAAAAGCTTCAAAGGGTATTTTGGTCATTATATTTTATTGAAAAAATATATTTAATAGGTGCACCCCAATGAGAAGGTGGTACGTATCAAATTTCATATTTGTACAATTTGTATAAAAAAATTAAAAATAAAATACTTTGAGACATCGAATCTAAGATCAAATGTTGAGTGGCTCTCTTGATCAAAATTGGATGGCTGGATGGTAGGGAAGCATAGATCTTCTATACTGTAGGGGAAGTATAGAAACTGTTCCCATGGGCAAGCTTTTTATGTATCCCCTACAACATAAAACTTATATACTTCTCCTTATCCAACCGTCCATATTGAATGGAGGGTTAAGATTGCCCCAATCATAATGTCACGTCTCTACACTATTTTATTTTTAATTTTTTTCTATAAACTATTTTGACACCAAATTTTGGACGTCCAATCCTCTATTAAACTCACACTATCGAAAAATATAAAAAAAATATTTTTCAATAAAATAAAAATGACCAAAATATTCCTAGTCTCCAAATTTTAATAGTTCATTTTCTAGAAAACAATTGTAACTTAGACCTTTTGGAATTTAATCATAATATTTGAAAAGCTATCACACGTGCATTTTGCTAATTTATCTAACTTCCTAAGCTTAACTTCTTAAGCTTTTATAAGACACGTAATCTATTGTTAGAGATTATAGTGAGAAAAATCGATTTACTAGGATTTCTTATTTTTTAGGTTATCAAGATTTAGTTGACGTGCCACTTCTAAGGAAAAAGCGGTTTGGAAATGATTTATGGGATGAGACTATCGGCTTCGTATACTTTTCCATAATTTATATATTAGATGCCGATATATTGAATGGGATACACAATTTTACTAGGAAATACGTTTTCAAGAGTAAACTTATTTAGATTTTTTAAAATCCTACCAAAAAAACTTATATATAAGTGATAAACCTAAACCTTTCTAATTTTTTATATGGAAATGTAAATTATGAGAGCATTTACTTTTAGTATAAGGAGGTCACCAGTATTATTGACAGCTAGATATGAGATCCGGTAGTTGGGGATGTGTCATTGACTTGATACAAAATCCAAATAAATTTTTTGAATATAACAATACATTTCAATTCATGGGATTTCACATCTAATGGCTACAAGGTATTGTGAACGGTCTTATAAGTATATAATCCGAAGGAAATTTGGGATTGTGAACGGTCTTATAAGTATATAATCCGAAGGAAATTTTTTTTTCTCACCGTCTTTGTAATCGATCTCTTTTCCCTTATACTGTCTTATTTTCTTATTCAAAGGCTGCCCCCCACTCTTAGGATTGTAGCTTATCTCTCTAGTTAAGGAGCAAGAAAATATCCTGCCATTTCTCTCCCTTTCTCTCTCTCTCTATTTAAAGTGAGGTGATACTATACACTTATTCGCTTAGGAAGAGAATGAAGTTGGGAAATTTTTTTTTATTCCAAATTTTTGGAAACGCCTAGAGAAAATTACAAAAAACTCTCAAGACAACAGTTTTTTATGCAACTTATCTCCACCCTAATTTTTTCGCACATTTTTTCTCAAAACAAATTTTCTATGCAAATACCCCTCAAGGAAAACGTTCATTTTTTTTTTTTTATGGAAATGCCCTTCCTGTATACAAACCATTTTGGGCAGATTTGACGTTGACTTTTGGACCCCAATAGCATATTCCCGCACACCATCACATTATCGGAACTGGACCGCCCTTTGCAACTGCCAGACAGCCCTTTGCAACTGCCGGACAACCCTTTCCAACTGCCGAACCGCACTTTGCAACTGCCGAACCGCACTTTGCAACTGCCGGATAACACTTTGCAACTTCCGGATTGTCCTTTGCAACTGCCGGACCGCTTTTTTCAATTGCCGGACACACTTTACACAATGCCAGAGCACACTAAGGCCAGACCACACTGACATGGTACCGGAGCCCCTTATTTTGGTGGGATAGAGGAGAGACGCGTGGGTTGGGTAAAAGTAAGGGAGGGTAGTTTAGATATTTTTTTTTTTTAACTTTGGTTAGGGGTTTTTGCATAGAAAGTATATTTTGAAGAAAAAAGTGAAAAAAAGTTAGGTTGGGGGTAAGTTGTATAGAAAGTGTAGTTTTGGGGTTTTTGTAATTTTTCCTACAAAGTATTAGATTATTATATTTAAAATTTGAATTTTTAATTATCTAACTTGTAGATCACACCCATCAAAAAATTGTGCTGTTTTCATTCAATCATGAAGCATTAATTTTCTTCAAACCCGTAGAAAATACAACTTTTGGAGCAAAACTTGTTTGGAGAGAGAGATGGTCTTCTTTTTCAGCCTCTTTGTGAATGTACATGGTCGTCTTCTTGTGTCTTTGTGAATGTACTTTCTCATCGGTCTACGCGATTCACATCTGCGATGCGAAATTTCGTAGTAAATCTATCTATCCATACACATAATAGACCTAGAATTGTAAATGTGTCTTCATGATTTTAATAAAATTTATATGAAATCCCAAGCTCTACATGTTACTTTTCATAGATTTCTAAGTTTTTTAAGAAACATCCACTCTTTTGAATACAATTTAGAGAAAATTACAAAAAACCCTCAAGACTACATTTTCTGTGCAACCTACCCCGTCCTAACTTTTTCTCTCACTTTTTTTCTACAAAATACACTTTTTATACAAATACCCTTTAATCAAATAATAATAATAAAAAAAACCTAAACTACCCTCACTTACTTTTACCTTACCCATCCCCTCTCTCCTCTATCCTACCAAAATAGGGGTTTCGACATGTAAGTGCAGTCTGCAGTAAGGCTCCAATATTGTGTAAAATGCGGTACGACAGTAGGGCTTCGGAACTTGTAAAGTGCTGTCTGGTAGTAAGGCTCCGGCACTGTGTAAAGTGTGGTCCGGTAGTTGCAAAAGGCGATCTAGTAGTTGCGGTCCAGCAGTTGCAAAAGGCTCGGCACTATGTAAAGGGCAGTTCGGTAGTACTCAGTTTTGATCTAGTTGTTGTCTTAGGGTGGTTTGGCACTTGTGCACTTCAAAAATCAACGTCAAATCTGGCCAAAATGATTTTTGTGTATGGGAAAAACATTTCCATCCAAAAAAAATTAACTTTTTCCCTTGAGGGTATTTACATAGACAGTTTGCTTTGGGAAAAAAGTGACAGACAAAGTTCGGTTGGGGATAAGTTGCATAGAAAGTGTGGTCTTGAGATTTTTATGTAATTTTCCCTACTATTTAACACTAAAGAAATT